GATTTTAGTTATTTAGGTCTTTTTTTTTTCTTAGTCAATCTAGCTAAAAGTTTGTCAATTTTGTTGATTTTTTTCAAAGAACTAACTCTTGGTTTTGTTCATTTTTTTCTTTTGTTTTTCTTTTTTCTATTTTGTTTATATCTGATCTAGTATTTATTATTTCCTTCCTTTTCTTAGCTTTGGGTTTAGTTTGCTATTTTTTTCCACTTCCTTAAGGTGTAAATTTAGATTGTGAGACTTTCTTCTTTTTTTACCGTAAAAATTTACAACTATAAATTTCCCCCTTAGTACTGTTTTCACTGTTACCCATATGTTTTGGTTATGTTGTGTTTTTATTTTTATTTGTCTCAGGATATTTCTGAATTTCCCTTGTGATTTTTTTCCTTTAACCCATTGGTTGGTTGAGTGTTTAATTTCCATATTTTCGAGGATTTTCCAATGTTCCTTCTGCTAATGATTGTAGTTTCCTTCCTTGTGATTGAAAAAGATACTTTGTATAATTTCAATCTCTTAAAATTTATTAAGACTTGTTTTGTGGCCTAAAATATGGTTTACCCTGGAGAATGTTTCATGTGCACTTGAGAAAAATGTGTATTCTTTTGTTGTTGAGTGGAGCATTCTATATATGTTTGTTAGGTCCAATTGGTCTGTAGTGTTGTTCAAGCTTTCTATTTCCTTATTGATCTCTGTCTGGCTGTTCTACCCATTATTGAAAATGAGGAATTGATGTTTCCTACTATTATTCTAGAGCTTATTTCTCACTTCCATTCTGTCAATGCTTGCCTTATACATTTGGGAACTTTGATGTTTGGTGTATAGATTTTTATAATTACTATATCTTCTTGGTGCATTAGCTTTTTTATCATTATGTTGTGTCCTTCTTTGTATCTAATAACGGTTTTGACTTAATGTCTATTTTGTCTGGTATTAGGGTAGCTACCTCTGCTCTCTTTTGATTATTATTTGCACGGAATATTTTTTTCCAACCTTTCACTTTCAACCTATGTGTTTCCTTGGAATCCAAGTAACTTGTAGACAATATATAGTTGGGCATTTGAAAAAACAGCCGTATTTCCCAGTATTTACAGACTCGCTCTGTGAAGGGAAAGACCTTCACTAATCAACTGGGCATGAAGGCTTATGGTCTTCGCAGGCCTTTCTAAGCATGCCTGTGCCCTGGGCCTGTATGTGTGCTTTTTTCCTCAATCCTCCCATATACATGGCTTCCTTTAAATGTCTTATATTCCCTACGAGTCTGACCTCTGTTTCTTTTCAGGATCTTAATGTTCTTTTGTATTCCTCTGCCCATAATCTCTTGCCCCCAGGAGCCCACAGGTCTGCAGCACCCCCTGTAGCTCTTACATGCCATGGTGCCTGCTCTGTTTTCAGCGGCCTCCAACCTGATATCCAAACTATGCCACCATTTCCATCAGTGCTCCAAGTCAGGTAAGACAGAAACCAGTCCCTCAGGAAGCTCCAGACAGGCTAGAACAATGCAAACAAGTTCCACTCTTTTCCTTCCATTGCATGGGGGGAATCAGGAATTGGACAGCTTCGTCCTGATGCCATGCTAGGGAAGAGGCAGAAGAACATGGCTGAGTAAAAACACCCCCAAAACTCCTTCCATATTGGGTGTAGCTTTTTCTTGGTTAGACATTTGCTTGGCTGCTGCAAATCCTTAACTGGTTTCTCAGAAAGCTACTTTGGTTAGTATGTTGTTGTTTACTTTGTGTTTCTATGGGCGAACAAAGGCCTGGAGCTTCCTAGTGCACCATCTTGCTAATGGCACTCCTCAGCATTAGTATGTTTTATTATTATTATTAACAGCCTTCTGTTGTTAATTCTTTTCCTCTCATTATCTTTAAAAATGCCACAATTTTCAAGTGAAGAGTAAGTACTGACCTCTTTGATTTGGCTAATAGGTAATGACACAGCAATTGAAACCAAATGACTTATTATCTATTACCAGCAAATTTAGGGACTAGAATTTATCAAATCACAATATTTTTGAATGCTCATTTTGCTTGATGATTCAGCTGTACACAGCATTTTATAGATCTTTATACCTCAAGTGTCTGAAAGGTGCCCTACATATAAGTGATGCTCAAAATTGATGACCATCATGATCACACTTACATAGCCTGTTTCTCCATGAACTAAACCATGATCCAATTGGTTATAATAGTTGGCTTCTAAAAATAAAGTTGACTTCATATTATTCAACACTTAATGGAGAAAAACTACAGATCTTCTGTAGATAATCTATGTTTCCTTGCATACTTTGGGTCCTTAGAAGAAGATATTTTATCATCAATCCTAGCAAAGAAAGTCAAAGGAAGTTGAGATTTATTTCCTTCCATCAGGAATATCTATCCTCCTGCATCCCAAAATGCTACTTCTGTAGGAAATACTCCAAGTAATTCCATTTTCTTGGGATTAATTACCTGCTGTATCCTCAAATATATCATATATTCAGTTCTAACACACGTTCACTTACTGCTTTGTAGATAGATAGATATTTTTCAGTTTTCTGACTCTTTAATCTCCTTGATTAAATTATATACTTCAATCATTCTTTTACCCCACTTCTAGTTATTCAAGAAGTAACTGTAAGTCCTTCCTACATTTCTATCATATATGTCCCTCCTAACTAACATCAGCCTCTTTCAGCTCTCACCTCCTCATACACTGTCAGTTTCATCTGATGAAAGCACTCCTTTGTCTGTATCACCATCCTACTTAGAAACTCCACATTATCTATTGGATAATGGTCAAACTCCTTCATGACACTCTAGCCTCATACTAGATCGCCACATTTATTTATTTCCCCCTAGTCCCTATCATGAACCAGCCCTGGTGGTTGAGTGGTTAAGATTTGGAGCTCTCACCACCACGACCCCGTGTTTGTTTCCTGGTCAGGGAACCACACCACCTTCTGTTGGTTGTTTGTTATACTGTGGCAGCTGCAAGTTGCTGTGATGCCAAAAGCTATGTCACCAGTATTTCAAATACCAGCAGGGTCACCCACGGTGGACAGAGTTCAGTGGAGCTTCCAGACTAGAAGAAGGATGTGGCCACCCTCTTCTGAAAAAAAATTGGCCATGAAAACCCTATGAATAGCAGCAGACCATTGTTTGATATAGCACTGGAAGATGACAGAATGGTGCTAAAAGACCAGGCAGGGTTCCACTCTGTTACACAGAGGGTCTCCTGTGGTCTCTAGGAGTTGGAATTGACTACATAGCACTAACAACAAATTCCCCATCATGACTCCCATATTCCCTGTAACTGCACTTGATTTTAGACCTTAAAGTATGCTGTTTTTTTTATTTGAATGTCCAGCCCAGTCATCCCCCTTACCAAATTTATTCATTTATACCTTTCATTTATTTAGAATATATTTAATTCCTGTGTACTCATTTCCAAATCCTACCTTTTGCATTAATCCTTGCCCAAATACTTTAGTTCTCAATGTGTTCTAACTTCTCTAGTCCTACACAGTAATTATTTCTCTACCCCATTCATTTGTCACATTGAGTATGATTTCTTGGCATATTTGCTTATCTTTTCTTCTGTCTATATCATATGTTCCCAACTAGACTGTATGTTTGTTTCTCGAGGACAGGAAACAATAAGCTTTTTCTTTTTGCTCTAGTGTTCTCAGCACAGTGTCTATATTTAATTAATTATCTTTCTGAGTAGTTACTATTTTCCTTGATCACAAGAGCAATGGTGGATAGTGATGATGTTTACTCAATAAGCACTAGTAAAATCGAGGACTGATTTCCACAAAACACACATATAAACATTGCTCATAGCATGTATTAAAACATTTAACTAAAATTTAGAGGGCAAAAATCAATGGCATTTTCTACATGCCCCTCTGATGCCTAGTGATTGTTTTTCAAGATTTACCAAGAAATTTTTGAATTTCAGTAGTTTTTTTGGCTGGTCTGAAAAATACTTTTTTTAACCTATTAAATCATGGAATAATGTATAAACCCAGAGAGTTATGCCATACTCAAGTGTTAACAAGGAAAGTTGCCAATAAGTTCACAGTGGTGTGCTCAGCTTAAAACCTGACTCAAAGCAGGCATTCCATAAATATTTGTGAATGAGTATCAATAGGTGCCTTTCTCAATGTTTATGCAAATTAAGGGAGCAGGCTAGTTGAAATAGTGGGCTAATGATTAGTGTTGAAAATCAATCAGTCTACAGCTTTTATCGTGGATCCTCCATTAGTAGATCATTCTTAGCCTGGGTGGTGTTTTCATCACCCAGGGGTGGTGAGCAGTAGTTTGAGCAGAACCATATCAAAGATTTTGGACTAAGCTTCTCTCCTTCCACAAGTCCTCGGTCTTACTTTGCACTTAAACTAACACAAAGCATAGGTGTCCATGACCCCCAGTATGTTATCACATGGCTAAGAAATACATACATCTTAACAGAAGTCTTCTGAAGACATACTGTAACTTGCTAATCTATAGGGATCATTCAAATGGGAGGAGTTTTGGACACTCAAATGAATATTTGGGGTCTTTTTCTCACTCCTCAAGCCATAGCTGGAAGACTACAGCCCACTCCTTCTTAGTAATGGGACAAAGGCCCTTTTCTACAATTTAGGGAAAAAATATTTTGAACTGAATAAAATATTTTGAAATTAATGGACCTCCCTATAAAAATTTTTTTTTGATTCAGTTTCTCTCTGAGAACACAGTTAAGTTTCTTAAGTTTAGCCCAGGGCTGAACATGGCCCAGAAAAGTCTAACACATGACTTTCTCATTTTAGATTTAGTTGGATAGTGAATAAAAACAAATGGAAAAACGCAAAACAAAGGTAATTCTTGGACTCTAAAGATGACTCAGAGATTTCTTTAGATATCACTCACTCACCTATTTTACCCCCAATTTCTAAAAACAAACACAAAGCGTTTTTAACCAGTTTTCAAGACGATGATCTAATCTTTTCTTATGTATGAATTTAAAGAAGGAAAGCAGTCTTCAGATGTCAAGATTAACTGTGTTTATTTCGAGTTAGTGGATACAACGGTATATTAGATACCAGCACTCCAAACTACACCTATGTATTTGCCCCTAAACCTTCACACATATTGTCAGTTTCCATTCCTCTAACATTCCACCACCACTGGGCCTCCTATTTCTAGCAAAATCATAGTTAAAATTTTAAAAAAAGTAAAAGCAAGATTGATCACCACATTGTGCTTCCAGTGCCCCCAGAAGGATTATAATTGTTTCAAATAAATGTTTATTGTTTTCAGTAAAGGGGGAAAAATTTATCACATGAGCACTAGTAATGGCACTACTAGAAGAGAAAGAACAGAATACAGATTAAAAGAAGCATTTTAGGCTGGATGAGTTAGTTTCCTCCTAGTAAAAAATCCACATAATATTATGGATGTCAAAGTTGAATTGTTCAATTTGTGGGCCACACACTTAAGCGTATTGGCTAGTACATTTTTGCACTGAAACAGAAGCAATACAAGCTTTATGTTCTACCATTACACTTCCAGATTTTTCACTTATTAATATACCTGCCAACCTAATGATTCTTGCATGCATTAGAGTTTGCTTTTGTAGAGTTAAGTTTATTTTCCCCATCCCTCCCGCTCCCGTAAACATTGCGATGCGAACTCTTTGCCCACTTTTATGAGAATGTTGCAAAGGACAGTTCTGTGCCACATCAGAACAGGAATTCCCTGTCCCCTCCCCGGGCTACAGACGGGTCAGTAGTATTGACCACATCTTATCTTACATGCAGACACTGCTCCCTTAATTTCCCCATGCCTGAGGCATATGAGTCGGCAGGTATGCATACAAAAATGGAATTACAAAGAAAAGGAAAGAAAAACAAAACAAAACAAAACAAAGAAAAAGCTTTCTTTTAGAGCCTATCGTCCTAGAAGGAATCCATGGCTTTGAATTCACTTAAAGCCTGTACAGGAGAAATGTGTTTCTTCTGAGAACCTCGTCTAACTCGCGTCTGGAATTCTTCGGGCTTTTCTCTCTTCACAAGGGGCTTCTTCTCTGGAGCCTTCATCTTCCAGGACACAACAGGGGAGTTGACGGCTGCTGTCCCATACACCTTCTGGTATTTGGTTGAGGCCACATAGGATGCTTTCACCGTGAGGACAACAGCATTCATCAGGTTTTTAGCTGCCTGGATGAGGGATGTGGCACTGTCCAGCTAGAGAGGGAGGAGAAGAATGAGACCCCTGGGTTAGTCAAAGCACAACATTCACAAGATGGTGGTGCAGCTTCATGGTTAAAACAATGTTGTGCTTGTGCAAGTATAGTATTGCCACAAAAGAGCAAATTATTACATAAGGGAAACAGGCTGCAAAGCAGTCACCTGTCTTCTCCTATCTTTAATTGGATGGTTAAAAAAGCAAAGAGACTACTCTATGATGCATAGCTTTCTAAAATCCCAATACCTCTAAAGACAAAGCCCTCTTTTTAGCATGTAAGGGTTCCAGCATAAAAGTTTTCCAAACTGGAACAGCTCATGTTATTACATTCGGCTGATTAGTAATGGTGACAATTACTCAAATGTTTAAAAAGCATTTGGCAAACACTGCAGAATAAAAAGGCATAATATCAATAACTGTATCAGACTCTTGTAGGTCAGAGAGCATTCAGGCTAACCCCCATATCCATGTGTTCATGAAGATTTCTTACTATGTGACAAACACTATTTTAAGAACGTTGTATTTCCCCATTTAACTCTCACAACCCTATGAAGTAGGTGTTATTGTCATTACATTTTATGATGAGAGAGCTGGTGCATGCAGAGGTCCAGTAACTTTCACAGGTTTACACAGATTAAGTGATGAAGTCCTTAAAGACTGTACCATACTGCCACCCTGTTGGGCAGGATGGCTGTTAAAATGCTATGACAAGTCACAACTTAGAGCAGAGTAAGTTTAGAAGCTCATCCCCAGACTCTCAGGCCAGGGAGTTTTTAGGTTACCTCTTTTCTGCTTTTAACCAGTGAGACAGTGTGGTACATACTCTATATTACTAGATCATTCAATATCTGTTTCAACCTTCTTCACTTCCTGGACTATAGATGCTGGAAAAGTTCAAAACTGCATTTTCCAGACTCCCTTTCAGCCAGGAATCTACATGGGACCTAATGAAAGGAAAGAACTAACAACTGGACTGCAAATATTATTCTAGGCTCAAAGATGCTTGAGTATATTTGATCATTCATCAAAGTTCTTGTAACATCAACTAAGGAAATGTATCCACTGCAGTTCAATGAGGGATCCAAGGATGTTCCTAAGTAATGTTGTTCCTAGTTGTTGAGATTGTTCATTGTATAACCTGTAATTGATGGCCTGCAGCTTCAATAGCAAATGGGAACTAGGTATACAACTTTCCGAGTGTGAGGTGATTAGTAAAGTGTTTAAGCTGAGGGACCCCAATCACTGTGGCTCCGCTGCATGATGTGACCTGCACTCAACTTTAGCTTCTTGTCATTTCTTGTGACCAAAACATGTCCCAAGCAATGACTGGGCACATCAGAAGTTACCTCTAAGGCCTCTGCAATGCAGTTGCTCTGGCTACTCTCTGTTCTATATCCTTTATTCAAGTTAAACAAAAATTATGCTGAGTTAAAAAAAATTCTATTACAAATGAGCTCAATTCTTCCACCACCAAAAAAGCCCATAAAGTCAGATCATTGGGGGAAACAATGGAAGATGCTTTCTATGTATAAATTCTTTGCAATACCAAAGAATTGAGGCTTCACCATTAAAAAAAATAGATTAAAGGTCAGTATTACATTGACCATACAATAATATAGAGAAGCAAAGAGATTTGTGGATTAGAGCCACAATTCAGCTAATATATAATTGACTGCTTTGTAAATTAAATCAAATAGATTGACTGCCTTCTTACTTTGCCACTTCTATTACATTGTTCAAGGTACGCATATAATAAAATAACTGCTTAACCCCCAATGTTTAGTTTATACAGCATAAATTTCTAAAGCTAGCTAAAGAAAAGCAAATTCTAGATTATTCAAGTTAATAGAAGAGAAGCCAAGCACGGATTAGCACAGTGATTCTCAAAGTACAGTCTCTGAACCAGCAGTATCAGCATCACCTGGGAAACCTGTTAGAAATGCAATTTCTCACGCCAATCCCAAACTTCTGAATCAAAAACTTGCGATCCAGGGGATTCTGATGCATGCCAAAGGTTGAGAACCACTGGATTAATGAAACCCAAGGACTATCTGAAGGCTTATTACATCTAATGATTTTAGGACTTTCTCCATACACGAGTTTGGTAACATCATAGCCAGTTATCTGACTGAATTTCACTTTTTCATCTTTCCCGTTATGCTCCCAGGTAGAAGTGTAAATAATGAAAGAAAGAGATAAGATAGCAAAATGTTGGGACAAGTAAGAGATCAGTCATCGTTTCTTTAGAAGCTAGATACCATACCCCTTGGCCAATTGACAGTTCCCTAGAAGTCTGTCAGGTTTCAAAAATGAGTAATATTCATTGATAAAGTTAGTTAATTCTATTGTGTGCTATGGGTAAAGAGAGAGCAGAATAATATTAGGGACAATTCTGTTGATTTGCTTCAGGGCAATAGAATTAGTAGAAGTAGAGTAAGATGTATCCATTGTATTATTAAATGGTTCCCCAAAAGCAAATCTTGGGAGAATTGAGTGGATCTGAAGAGAAGGATTACAAGTAATTTGGAGATTTTTACCACAGATTCCATTTTCAGATAGATGGTGTCTAATTCTGCAGCAAAAATATGATAGCCTGTCTCTTCTTCAGAGCCCCTGTGCTCTCCCAGCCTGATGCAGGAATCCTGTGAATAAATCTAATACATTGGTTGAGAGTGAGACAGCTCTGAAATATAAAGCCAATGATTTCATTCAGGCCACTTGGTAGGGCAGATACTGAATTTGCAGCAAGGTTAAGTGAAGAGGTAAGGGATCTAGCCAACTAAATCTGAACAAATATACTCCTAGACAATAAGCTCAATCTAAAATTCATACAAAATTTGACTTTTTCTTCAAACTTGAATTCCTAAAAGATAAATTTTGCCATTTGCCCTCTACCCACTTTAATGATTTAGATCATTATTGGCACAATCAGAATTTGTTTTATTTAAAAGTGGCTCTCCTTTATGCTTATCCAAAATAGCACTGAGACCTGGTTTCCAAGTGAAATGTTTTGCTAAAAATGCACTTCCTAAAGAAAATACATTAAAAAGAGTAAAGCTACATGGCAAGAAGATTTTTTAATACAAGGTTTAGGAAAACTTGTTTAACGTAACTGCATTCTATTTTGTGATTTATACTGTAACTATGGCGTTTTCAAACAAGACATGTAAACGAATATGTGCAAATGACGTTCTAGTATAATAACCAACATTAATTGAGCACTTACCACCAGGTGCCTGGCATTGCCTTAGTTCTTTTAATTAAATTGCATGATTTAAGTTTCAAAAATCCTTGAAGGTAGGAACAATCATTGCCTCCATTGTAAAGGGGAGGAAAGTGAAGCTTAGAGAGATAACGTAACGTGCCCCTGCAGTAACTGGCAAAGGAGGGATTAGGACCAATACTCTCTCCAAAGCCCACCATCTGAACCTACACTGCACTACTTCTCTAAAGCATTGTGTAATCCATGGGGTCTTGTTTTTCAATGACTACTTATCATTCAAAATGAAACTGTCTTAATTATTAACTCTGTCTGGGCAGAAGCCTGTACTTTAAACCTGGTAACATCCTGTAATCATCATGACTAAGTCTGGTGAAAGCCTCCATCTCACCTGGTCTGTAATTTTTAGTCGTCTCGTCCTCAGAGCCTGAATTCTTTCTAACTGGACCCTGCCCAGTGCTCAGCCATTCCCAGTCCTTCTCGGCTGTTAGGCTGCCTTCCTGGCTTAGATTCACCCTCATGGCAGCAGAGCTTGGAATCAGATCCCTGCAGATTTCTCTTGCGCTTGCTCAGTTTCTCTGAAGCACATTCTGTATACAGCTGTGATGACTGGTTATCTCTTAGGTGGGGCTCACCCACTCTGGTATTCTATGCCTTTATCTGGGCTGGTCTTGCTAGCTTTATACCAGCCTTGAAGGTGGACCATCTCTTAGCCATTCCTCCAGCTGACCTGCATATACACTGACTGGACTTTTCCACAGAAAGAAACTTGTATCTTTTCCTGCTTAAGGGCCTTGCTATTCCAATTGGACATCCCATCCAGTTCCTATATGTAATCTAAGAGAAGATGCTAATTTTCACCTAATCTTAAAATAAGAGCCTACATTTAGCAAATGTGACCACGAGCTGGCTCTAGACTAGCTCCCTGAGTTTCCTTTCTCTCATTCAATCTCACAACCGTGTCTGAGACAAGAACTTCGAGGGGCCATACAGCTTGCCCAGTATCACACTACGAGTGGTGAATCCCAGATTTAAACCCAGACAGCCTAACTTCAGCGCCCATGTGCTAACCATTGCTCCATGCTGCTTTCCAGAGCCACGCATGGCAGACAAATTCACAGCCCAAAAACCTATCAAGCTGTGCTAGAGTCATCCTCCCGATTTCATGTCATAGATGTCTGCTGTCCCTAACCACAGAAATTAGGCTTCTCCTAATTCTGTCACTATTCTTTTAAAATATCAAAGTAGTATTTTAAAAAGGCAACAGATGTTTACTCACCTCTTGGTCTATTATAGTCCATGAAAAGCAAATAAGGGTGGGAGAGCTGATTTATAGCCATTTCTATAGGGTTTTTCTGGCTCTTTCTCTGCCTCTGTTACTACTCTTTTCTTCTTGACCCCACTCAGCTCCTAATAGACAGATTTCTCTTTCCCCACACCATCCTCATTTTGTGTTTTTAAATGGAGGGAAATACTAGAGGGAAGACTTTCCTGAAATTTGTGCTGCCTAATTCCTTACATCAAAGCTGAAGACTGTCATAAAAAGTGCTTAAAATGACGCACAATTTACAGGATCATCTGAAGATTTCTGATACCCCATGTTTTAAGTTCCATACTATTTCATTAACATGGGGTTGACACTGCAAGAGGTGTTCAGTTTCAATAGAAACAGAATTTGACACAAATGTGACTGCATGACTCAAGTCACACTCTTTCAAATGAAAGTGCAACTACATTTCTTGAAATGCTGAATTCTCATTTAGTCTTTACCTTTCAAGT